ATGTTTTTGTGATGCAGAACATAATAGCAAGTATCATGGAGCTGCTCATCAAGAAACTATGCTCGAAGCTAGCTCATTCATTCAGGTCAACGAGGCGGGGCATTTCTTCCAACTCAACCAGCCAAAGGGGATACAGGCAGCATTTGAGGCCTTCTTGTCTGGAGAAATCTAAGAAAGCTCAACTCTGGCCTCTTCGTCCCTACCTTTCCGTAGAAGGAATATCCCACAGGAGAGGCGCCTCATAATGTTTCAACATAAGTTGAGAAGGAATCATAGCCCCGATTCAGTCAGGCTGATTTATTTGTTTTTTTTCATTTTTCGTCGTGAATAATGTTATCATGATCGTGCTACCATCAGTTCTGTGTATACCCAATACTCGGTGTATTTCATGGAACTCAACGACGGGAAAATATCGCCTCGTTTTTATTCATCATGGTGTAGTTCGTTTCTTTCACAGACTGTGATTTACAGTTGTGGATACATGTAGCTGAGCTCGAATAACGTGGGCAATCTTCTTTGATTAAGCTCATCAAATCTCATCAGGCATTGTTCTACAGTGGACTCCGTGAGTCGTGTTGAGTGAGTGGAGAAATCCGCATCAGATTTGAGTCTCGGACGCCGGAGCAAAACTATGAGATTTAAACTCGGGCAGAATACTATTTGGCCAAACCACTCACGGGACATCGAGAACCTCGACGTTCTTACACCCGGACCTACTGAGTCGTCAACGGGAAGGGCCCAGAGTGTGAGTGGCACATCAACTCCTCTCACTGAGTGCAGTTGATGGAGATCCTTAAGGGGTCTCTACTATAGAGACCTGCCGCAGCAATGTGAGAACACGATCACTGCAAATCAAAGAGGTTGCATCCAAACTCATGTCACAGGCTCTGTGACACAGGGAGCAAGCTTGGCGTTCATGCAGAAACCGCGACGCCACAAAGCCGAAAGCAACCATTCGCAAATGGGAGACTGGACAAGCTCATGCTCCCATCGACTCGACCGTGTCAAGGCCCGGAAACAGACGTTCAGTATCGAAGTTTCAGAATCTGGGATTCAGATCAAAGGGACAAGACTGAAGATTTCCCAGTGAGGACCTGAAGTCCACCAGTTGAGCTCAGTCTCACATCACCACATGAAACGAGGAACGCACGCCATGCGTGTTGCTAATCCGTGCCCAGCACTTGCGTCGGGAGCCTCCCGATGGGAGGCGAGTGTATATATGCGTTTTTTCCATTCCAGGGAGCAGAGTTTCTCTAATCATACAGTGGAACACGGTACGTCCGAGTCGAACAGACGAACCAATACTGCAAACTTAACTGAGCGAAATCGGCCTCTGAGGCTACTAAAACTAGTGAGTCACTAGCAGCGAAGCATATGTTAGTAAAGTCTTTCTATGGCAGCATTGCTGCCGGCTCCCACTGTGATGAGATACATATATCGTTCAAAGTAGCCCGCGTTTTTCAGCAATCTCCAACAAGCCGCTGGTGTGAAGCTCTGTAGCTGATTCTGGGGGATCTTTCCGTGCTCATCTAAGGATAGCAATCAGCTGGACTATCTTGTCAAGATACAAAATGGGACTTCAAGGACTATCCGCCAGTTCAATAGACCGATTTTAAATTTGAGAAGCCTTTCTACACCATTTCCCGTGCAAGTTTGACAAGTGAGCAGACAAGAATGACAATATTACCATCAAGAGTGGCAATGAGAATCCAAGTTTGTCACAATTCAATTCTGTTACAATCAAGTTTGACAATGAGAATTCATGTTTGACACCGGCAGAATATATCACAATCAAGAATGACAATAAACTGTACAAGTTTGACAATACGCACACAAGTTTGACAATACGCATCCAAGGACGCGAAGGACGCGTGCAACCACGCGGAAGGAAGCGTGGCTGCAAACATTTGTCCATATCTCTCCTTACATGCGTCTGCCAATAAGCAGACTTCTTAAACCAACCCCGATCTTGGAGTAATCTTCAACTGCATATTAGAGGTAGACTCTGACAGTGTCAAACTGACACCATGGGCATGTAGAGGGCAACTTGAACACAGACATCTTCTGCTTGTTGAAGGAGCTGCTACCAAGTTATAAGAGTAGCCGTCGGACGAACTCAACTTTGTGTGCTAGAATACTCATCCGACAGTATGTCCCACGTTAGCTGGGAACTGGTACTTTGCTGAGCAGATACCTGAATGGTTCAATCGTCGGCTGCGACAGTGACGAACCCACATCGATCACATTCCATTGAGTCCTCAGATTTTTCTCGCGGTTGGAGTTACCATCGCCAGTTCTGCTCCTAGTTGCACCGAAGCAGCGAAGATAATACGTCGATCATTCTGTCATAGATTCAGATCCTGAATCTGAATCTCTTCTGAATTTCTGAATAAATTGACCAGTGGTCAATGACCACACCATGCGACGAGGTCGCGCTAGGGATACTCTCCGTCAGTGGGTCTGATTACGGAACTATATCATCGAGCGTGAAATAGACGCTTTGGACCAGTTATAGCGTCCCGTTTCCCGGGTCCACGTCACGTGGAGAATGTTGTCAGGAGAGCAACGTTCCCGAGAGAGGATGAAAAGGACGCACTTTCGTGTCCGAATTCAGAAATTCTGTCTGAGTTGCAAGCACAAGTAGCACGAAACTTGATCCTAGTGGACAATCAGAAGGCAAGAGGGTTGAACTGCGAGTGACGCATTCAGTAGGGCTTTGCTCGAGTGCCGAACGCAGTGTCACTCTCAGCGCGCTTGCGCAACACTAATCCCGGGCTCCAAATTTCTTCGTAACTAACCAATTAACCGCGAGTGGACGGTGCGGCACACAGTGTGTGCATCCCTCCGTCATTCTGTCGAACCCAAAGCAACTGATGTGATATGAAACAGAATGAAACATGAGAATCATTCACGTCACGTCCTCAGCATACATCAATAACCACTCAGCAGCTCGAGCAACGTCATGTCGAATGTCTTCATCTAGATGTGGTAATACTTCTGCTATCTGAGAATCGCCATTTCCTTCCTAGTACACTGTCAATGAACCCACACGTACTTTCCGATACAAAATAGCAAAGTCGCTAAGAGCCAGTTCTGTCACCGAGTGACGAGAAGCCAAGCCAAGAAGTCGCGCCCACACTCGCACATTCAATGCCTCATATCTAAGTACTCGGCTAGGTAAACAGAAAGGCGTCAAGCCTCTTACCCATGAGCATCAAGCCTGGGGTAATGTATGGTGTAGTTGCATAGACCCGTCAACATCTGCACGGCTCCTCTGCCAGAAAGACCACTACTGAGCTCCACGGCGGCCTCAGGGGCCAACACCTATAGAACTATAAGATCTTAGACTTTCTTCCCGACAGCTCCTACCACTCGATCACCAACATACTCTGCAATGAGTTTCCCACCGAGGGACTTCTCCGCCATGATTCGTAGTCCTCTAGAAGTGCAAAACCCCACGGTAAGGTTTTTCAACGTGACCATGGTCCACCCTTGATTGAGTGGTACGTTTTCGGAAAAGTCCCCGCCGGCTCGGGCCGAGGTATGATCGTTGGCAGCTCGAGTGATCAGATCATATGTACTCCGACCAACTGCAAATCTCCCAATCCTCTCCGCTAACGTCTTCATGTCCACTCACGTTTCCCACGGCAATTTACCGGCTCCTGGCGGTTGATAACTTCGTTTAGTACCATCCGAAGGACTTCCTCAGCCGCCCCACCAGTACTCGGTGCTCTAGCTGCCGTCAGGGCCAGCTCAGAGAACTCGTAGCACCTGTAATGCAGTCGGCGGATTGACGACAGGCTTTCTTGGTATAGGGCGTGCAAGGTCGCCAAAGCTGAGAAAGCGAATGAGCCTCCGAATATGGCTGGGGTATGATACCTTCCTGCTTGGCCGTTTTTGACAACTCCTTTGAATCTGCCTTGTCTCTCGCCGCCCTCATTTGTCTGGTAACTTCGACATTTGTCATGTGTGATAGCTGAATTAATAATACTCCCGTCCAGGGCAGATAGAAGCCTCACCTCAGAATTGTCGTCAGACATCGTCAGTGTTCGCAAGGGCCGTTGTGCCTTCACAGCCGATCGGAGGCGGATCGACAGTCGATGCATCAGAAGAATCTCCGTTTAAACGTCTATTATATTATCTCAAAGAATTGAGATTAATGTGGCTCTGCCTCTCTGTCACCCCTCGCATGCACTACAACCAAACTGCGCCATAGTCATTGATAAACTTCTTGACACCTTCCTCCCTTGGAGAGTATGCCTTTACCACATCACAATTAACAACCATAACCTACCAGTGGTTGAAGCCGTGTCCTGTCGACATTGGCTTATTATCGTCTTCGGTAACTCCCTGATTGAAATGGTTAAGTCCTCACCGTTTCTGCATAGAAGCTGTTCCGACTCCCCTCGCTTCTCCCTTGCACCGATCAACCTGGTCCTGCATGCACCATCGCTATCCTTAGCTCCAACACTGGCCCCCTCAAAGAAGGGCAGAAAAGCGGACTAAACAATGATGCCCAAACGGACATCCTCAACTGTCTTGTACCCTTTCCCCATCAAGGAACTGTTCTTGCACCCGTCTGCCTCCCATTTCCCCTATTGCCGTACACATCTCGGTACGTCTGTCTACTCCACCTCAAGTACAGGATAAGGTAACGGCTTGTACGCATCCTTACAGACTACCATTCCCACATCACCACAACTCAAGACTGACCTCTACCAAGACGTCGAAACGACGAGTTCGTTGTAAGATACCAGTAATCGTAGTGGTAAAGTTATTTACGTCGGCTGCGCTTACCAACCACCTCAGCCATCGACCTCCATCGGCTCGGCCTCATCCTCCCCCGATTTCACCTGCAACCCCATGAAGCACATTATCAACCCCAAACTCTCGTATATACCTGACGAGCCGTCTTCTTCCCCATCTGGTCCTCGAGGCTCTTCTTCACAAGACGACACTTGTTCTGCATCACCACAGCCGCCTGAGGGAGTTAATAACAAAATACCGACTAGGAAAAGACAGATCACCTGCGCGAATATCTGTGGCGCGGGGATCTGCCCGACGGACTCCACCGTGAAGATGAAGTGGTCCTTCAGCTTACCAAGCGACACCTTGTCGGCTGAAAATCACCAAATGAGAGTTCCCGAAGCTTTACAGGAGGAGGAATAGTACCAAAACCATTGCCGGGTTCAATACACTGTCGACAGGTTGTGCATGCCCGAGGGTTCTTCACGACCGCAGCACCATCCTCAATATCAAACACGCCCATCGGACACACCAACTTGAACTTCTTAGCCTCTGCCCCTTCGATAGGCTGAGACCGATAAGAACAATATGCGTGTATTCCATTCAAAAGCCGCTTTATTTAGTGATACGCGACTCATACGTCATCAACATTCCCTATCACTACTCAGCCCTGCCCTGAGTACCTCCTTGAGGATTATATCAGGCATGAGCCTGTAGGTAGCCGTACAGACAGGACTCCACTTCGCATGGATCTTCCCGATACCCTGATGACCCCATACCATCACAGCCACCTTCCTCACTACTACCTTGCAGCAAAAGCACTTGATCTCGAGCTCTTGGCCACATCGGAGTTTGGTGATGAGAACATCGTCATAGACGGGACGAGGCGGCTGAGGATATCACGGGCGTGCGCACAGCGAAGATTCCACCAGGATATGCCGTCCTACATCATCCTTGTATCGCTCCTCCTGCTCAGCGTTGAGGGGCACCCACTTGAGGTCGCCGCTATATACCGGCATTGATTCCCTCGGAGGGTGACTCTGCGGACACACCTTCTCCAATGAGAAGCAAATCCACGTGTCAGCTGAACAAAACGACCAACAGTGTGAGCATGAGGACCACTCCCCAGGATGTAGGCCTCGATAGCTTCTTACGATCAGTAACGTCATCTCTCTGCTCTGGTGGTGCATCCTCATCACGCATCTTCAAGGAGTCAATATCACAATAGATAGGGACTAGACCAAGACGGTGTGCGAGGATCTGTGATGACTAGTTCTAAGGAATCGGGAGTATCTAAACTTACCTCGTCATGAATGACACCGGTGTTCTGGTAGACGTAACACTTCTCGATTGCGATGGTAGGTATCTCGGCTATCATGATCCTCCTCAAAGCATTGGCGATCGGGGGATCGATTCCCACGACGTCCACTTCTACCACCTCATCGCTGGCCCTTTGTACCTGAGTTCCATCAGGACCACATCTCAACAACTACCATCCTATTACCTTCATCTTGAGCCTCCTCTGGAACTCCTCTCGGTCATAGCTGTTATCGATACCCATGCTGGCGTAGACCCCCGAGTCATCAGCGGTCTGCGGGTTCGAAGGGCCCTCTAGGGTCAGCTCCATTCGTCGATGCTTCTGCTTGATGCTTTCCTTAGTCGGAGGTGGGACCATGGGTAATCAGACACGATGAGAAACTCAAAAGCAATCCGCATCCTCACTCACTTCCAGAGATCTGTCTCTGAATTTGTGGCAAAACTTCACAGACAGACATTAGAACTTCAAAAGAAACATCGGGCGAGCGCGTAATCCTTTAGAGTCGCGCGCGCCATGTGATCCGAGTTGGTAAAGGGGTAAAGGGTAAGTGACGAACTGAAACGAAGTCGTCCATCTCACATTCCAGTGGCTCTTACAGTAAAAGTTCATGTCTCGTCGAGATCGAGTCATCGTCGAGTTCCAGTGTCGGAAAATATGCACATGGTCAACTACGTGGTTATGGGAATTCTGAGGAAATTTTGGGAAATTCTTCTTAATTTCTATACATCTCTACCCGAGCTCGTACGAATAAAAAGACTCAGCAGAATTTTCCAAAAAAATCCCTGAAAATTTTTTATATTGTCCCAATTATACGTCGTCGAGCATGTGCAAATTTTCCCACACAACGGCGCTCTTCAGTTGGTGTTTGCTAGAAAGCTAATGACGGCTACATATAGTGGATACCCCTCATCGACTCATCCCCGGCATAGTAAGAGGTACTACCAAGGCTCGGCTCTTACCTGGACCTTTCTGACCTATGTGTGCCTGCATGCTGTGAGGAAAGCTTTCTCTAATGCTACACCCAATATGAAGGAATACTATGGGTACTCCACTACTTTCTTCGGGATCATGAATACTCTATTTATGCTATTTTATGCGATTGGTATGTTTTTCACGGGACCATTAGGAGACATCTATCATCCAGTTAGGGTCTACTTCTTTATGGCTGCGCTCTGTTGTGTTACTCAAATCATATTCGGTGATATGGTCGATGTGGCGACACAAGATGGATGGTATTACTTTTACTACCTTTTGTGGATTGTCAATGCCATTTTTCAGTCTGGCTGTTGGCCGGCTTCTGTTGTTATAGTCGGGCAGTACTTCCTTCCTAAATATTATGGTACAGTGTTCGGCATCTGGTCCAATAATGCTAACGTGGGCAACATCCTTGGTGCTGCTATGTGCACTCTAATGATTGGGATATTTGGTAACGAGGGGTCGGTAGCGTGGCAGTTCTTCGGTCCAGCAGTGGTCCTCCTGGTAGTCTCCGCCTTGATGCTTTACTTTCTCCCCCGAGACCCGCAGTCAGTCGGCCTCGTTATACACCCTGATAACGCTCTAGAGGAACCTCTGAGCCGCGATCGAGGGGAAACTAACGAGAGTACGAGCGAAGTCGCTGCGGAAGAGACACTGAACTTTCTTGCTGCCTGGAAGGCGCCGGGCGTGCTGATGTACTCTTTTTGCTTCGGCTGTATCTCCGGCGTCAATTACGCCATGTTCTTTTGGTTGCCGCTCTACCTCACTGAGCATGTTGGTAGGACCTCCGCCGAAGCCAATGGTTATGATATGCTTTTTAATTTGGGTGTTATCGTCGGTACTCTCGTATTGGGGGTCGTTTCTGACTATTGTACGGCCAAGTGCGGCGAGTCTTGTCGAGCTCCTCCTATGTTTGGGTTCCTAGTGCTAGCCATCATCCCTATTGCCATGCTCCAGGCCAGCCGTCCTTCTACCAGCTTCCTCACAATCACTGTCTTTACCTGTGGCTTTTTAGTAGGATCAGTTGCGAACGTCCTCTCGAGTGTAGTGTGTGCTGATCTCGGCCATAAGATGCCGAAGAAGGCAGTAGCCCAGGTATCGGGTATTATCGATGGTGTGGGGGCTATTGGGGCTGCTCTGATGCAGCTACTGGTGACAGTCATCGCACAGTACTCCAGCTGGGGGTACGTCTTCATTGTATTGCCTGTTGCCTTAGCACTCAGTGCTGTCATCCTTGCCAAGGTGGCCTATGAGGAAACCATCGATCTGATCAGACACTTGTGATATCCATCAGTTTAATCGTTTTTCACTAAACTTCCTAGAGCTCTCCCAAAAATTGATATTTGGCAGTGTGTTGTTCCTTGGCAAGTGCATCTCAGCTACCGATGCTAGTTGGTGTTGCTAAGTGGGAAGGATTAGTCTATTTGTACGGTAGACACCATTGGTCCCCTTCGACAGCCAACCCCCTCCGATCTATCCCCCCCTCGCATAGGCTCTCGTGCGGGGTGTGGAGGGGCCGGTGGATTCTTTCAGTCCCGCGGCACGCGATGTTGGACTACCCCTCGTGAAGGTGCATTTCTTTCTCCATGGAATCCATTTTTTAAAGGGTGGGGCGGCTATGCCACTACACATGCCCAAATGGGTGGATTTTAGAATCATCCTGGAAGTGCACACCTCCTGAGGGACTCTCTTGCTCTCACTGAGATCCGCTCGAGGGGCAGGTATGCCATCCTTGTCCTCCTATGCAGCGTACTATGTTGATAGGAGGAACTCTGCCATATATTTAGTGGCAGCTTGTCACTGAAAGTATACACCAGTCCAAGATGACATGTACTAAATTGGAGTGGTGGCATAGCCGCCCCACTTACGAGAATTGACCTTACCAATAATCGCGGGATTGGCCTTCAACGTTTTGAAGACATTGCGAGTTTCACATGTCTATTCCGTGAGGGGGGAATAGGGAGACTATCGATTATTGATGGGTGAGGAATCGAGAGGAGTATGGGGCTACTTTCAAGGGATACTGAGTACTTAATAGGGCTGCTCATAGGGGGTGTCAGTTGCTGATTAAGTAAAATGCCGTGATAGTCCCCCGTGCCGTTGCAATGCTGATTTGTGGTGCATGAAGCAGCTCGTGTAGTCATGGGCTCAGCCTTTCGTCGGATTGTCCCTCCACTTCAGTTTGACTGTCCCCATGTCTACCAGCGTTCCACATAAACCTACAGAATTCACTTACGTAATGAGGGGACTACGATTCCATCGTGGGAAGAATCAAATTAGTTGTCTATGGTCCGTTGTTCACGGGGCAAATGAGAGCATTCGCAGTTCCGATTGGAAGCTTGTTGGAAGTATCGAAGTTTTTCATCTGAAAATTGTCATTTATAGTATTTGTCAAAGCAGGGATGATGTTTCCATTCGTTTGACCATACCTTACTGTGCGTGCGTGCCAGCATAGGGTTATGGTGATAGCGGGCCGTAGGCAGAGGCGGTTACCAGGCTGCTTGAAATCGTAAATTTTCTTCACATTCACGTCATCACGACGTGAACCCGGGCAGCATCTCCTCCACCACGTACTCTTATCAGCTGTTGCTGTCCTCGCTATATCGACCCTGTTGTTCGCAACCCGGATTTGTCTCCATCCGGGAGGCTACTCCTATCTCGCACTACACTCAAAGAGTGATTCACCAATACGAACTGATTGCATAAGTCACTTTTGTACAGCTAGTTAGTGCTGTGAAGACATTCGGTTCCGACGAAGAGGATCGAGTTGTATCATAGGATGCTTGCCATGCGCAGGTGCTCATACCAGCTGACAGCAACGAGCCCATCCAAGAGCTGAAGAGCCCTCAAGTGGAGCTTGAAGACGATACGTTCGTCAAAAAGTTGAAGATCTATTTCGCTTCCAAAAGCGATGAGGCCAGTCTGGACAAGTAAGGATCGGTATCGCCCCCCTTCCCGTTCTCTCGCTCGCTTAGAGTTTGGCAAGTCCACGTGTATATCAGCTTGTCTTCAATCACTCAGGCAACAGTTCTTGGCACAGCTGTCAGCCCATGCGAAGCAAGATGTTAGCAAATCCGTGAGCTCAGATATGCTCGAGAAGGTACTCCTCGTCAACCTGCCTCTTCTGCGAAGTTACATTCTATGTTGCTTCAGCTCATGTCGATGACCACTGTGGACATCCTCACGTTAGCCCTTCCGGTACCGAAGACCAACTACACTGGCGTTAGTATGTACGTGGATGATAAAGGAGTTGCTAAGAACCTTCCTGTAAACTTGTAAGACGCTCAATACCACTTGAGAGCGGTTCAGGAGTGCGTCCTTTATCAGACGGGCGCAAGGCTTGACCTCAGCATGCGGTCTTCTTGGTAACCAAATACGCGGGGATGCATTCGTGGGGAGAATGTACGATGATGGAAAAGATGAATGGTTCAGGTAATGGAAGAATATAGTTGTGTTGAGGAAGGGCCTGTTCAGGACTGACTTCAACGAGGCGGACCTCAACTCCGGCCTGGAGTGGATAGCTATGGCGAAGTCCATCAACAGGAGGCAGGGCGGTGGTACGACTCTGAGTGCACTCACGAGCCAATACGGCATGGGTAAGCTGTAGTCCTCTCTAGACGTGTTCTGTATATTACCGCCTCGATCTTGCTAGGATCTAATTCGGAAGTGGCGGCGCCTACTTCCGTTGCCAACATGCCCAACAGGGAAGAGCCTGTGAAGCGGGAGGGATATACTTACCGCCAGACAAAGGACGAGGTGATGATGCTGATATCATTTCCTGAGTACCGTCCCGGTGATCAGGTAGAGATCGATATTCCTCTGGCCAGCGGCGTCTCCAAGGGGGACATCAAAGTGACCATAAAGCCCAAATTCATTTCAGTCCACATCAACAACATGCCAGTTGCAATAGAGGGTACTCCAGATAGCTCTCAGATGAGAATTCCGCCGATGTTCTCATCGAAACTTAAGACTACGATTATCATCTGTCGCTAACACTAGTAATCTTGTCGGGGTATGAACCTCTTTCGCAAGCTGTTTAAGTCGAAGCGTCGTGGCGTATGGGAGTTGCAATGAACTCATTTCCTTGAAAACTTCTGCTGTATAGGTCCTCTATGGGGTCATGTCGATACTGACGGTAGCGGCTGGATGATTGATGAGGGTATTCTGACCATTACAATGGAGAAGGAGAAAGTGAACCAGTGGTGGGAAGATCTTGTTGATACTAACAATGATACTGAATAAGTCCTGATAGCGGACATTCAAGTTTACTAGTTGTCTCTTTCTGTGATGTTGGGTTCAGTTTAGGGGAGATCTTTCGTGGAAGAGTGAGTTTTTAGAGCGTCTTTGGTATAGTATGACGAGTAAGTCGGTGAAGGTTCTACTGAGCGGAGATGTACGAGGCAATCTCGAGCGACTCGTGTCAACCACAGAGAAACAGATAGCGAAGGTGGGTTGTGGCAGTGTACTGCCGAGACCATTGTAGCATCTAGGTTGGGAACTTTGATCTGGCCTTGTGCGTTGGGGACTTCTTCTCTGAGGCCGGCGAGGAGGGGTTAAAGCCCTTCATGGAGGGATCGCGGAAGCTGCCTCTACCGGTACGGCTAAGGAAGAGGGGCGCTTGCTGGGCGACGATCGAGGCTGTGCAGATTCGTTACCTAGCGTCATCATCATCATCGGCAACCACTGCTGTGGCGACACTGGATAACCTGGCCAGCATCCAAGGAGGCTCTATCGTTCAAGTGGCTGGTCTGACCATTGCTGCGATGAACACTGATAGCGATGCTGCGAGTCTTGAGAAGAAGTAGTAGTACGCGCTAGGAGGTGTCACTATCGATCCCTCAGCATCGCTTCGCTGAGCACCACGGTCGACGTCCTGCTTACCAACGACTGGCCTGAAGGCTACGGCGTTGGCCTTGACGTTTCCTCAGTACCGCCTCATGTGACGCACGTTATCACCAGCAAGGAGGTGTGCCCGAGGAGTGGGAGGGTTTTCCAGCTATGCTATCTTCATAGGTTTCTCGGATAGCTGTACTGCTGAAGCCTCGATACATCTTCTGTGGCCATGCTGATCTGTACCACGGCATTCCTCCACTCTGACAACATCTGAGGTCATCAGGTACTACCTTCGTCAGCCCTTCAAATGGCCTGATTCCGATATAGTGTGTCGAATGATATGTGTGGGGAAAGTGGGCAGTAGCGGTAAAGAAAGAAGGTGAGGAGCGGCATCAGGCATGCTGGATGGCAGTATTGTTAACCTCAGGTGGCTTCATGCCCTCAACATCTCTCTGAGTGATGAAGGTCGTTCGCCCGATAACCTCACAAGATGCCCCTTCGCCGATGGACCAGGTAGTGTCTAAGGCGAGCTACCTCTGGGTGACTTACTCTCTCAGAGCCTCAGCAGTCCCACAAGCGGTCTCATCCTGAGGGGCATCAGCACGACGCTAAACGGCATGCTCCTGAAACGCCGTCTACAGAACTGTTCATACCCAATATACCGCGCCAAGAGAACAGGTCCAACGAGGAGGCGATATGGACGAGCCTTACCAAGGTCTTCGAGGGCATGCCCGGGTTCAGACGAGTTAACGTGGATTCCGTCAGAGGTGACCACTCGTGGGCTCGAGAGTGATGATAGCGCGCTGCTTTCCTCAAGGTTTCGCCTGGGTTCGTTTTTCCACTGTGAAAGACGCTACGCTGGCTCGCGAGAAGAGCCAAGAGCTGGACATGGGCGGCCGTCGCCTCATAGTCCGGTTCAGTCGTCCCAAGGAGGGTGCTGATGTGCGAGGTATAGATGTGAAGCAGCTTGACAGCTCCCCACACCAAGACTGCTGGTTCTGTCTGGCCAACCCCAATCTGGAGCGTCATATGATCTTCGCTGCTAATCTTGAAGCCTATCTATCGACGGCCAAGGTGAGCCTTTGGGCTCTCGCATCCCCAGGCTATAGGTTCTCAGGGCCCTATCAACGACCTGCATATCATTTTGTGTCCAGTGACGCACTTCGCGTGCAGTACGCACTGCTCAGATAAGGTCTTTACTGCTATTAACAAGTAGGTTGAGGCACGTAGCCTCGTGGATGCGTTCTGAAAATGGAAAGATTTTGGATTCTAAGGACGCTGCTTTATAATGTCGTTATATTCGGAACGACTGCGTCGAAATTCGAATGGTGTAGGTACATTGATGAAGTAACTTATGTGATGGAGTCCCAATACAACAGCGATGTCGTGGTGTTCGAAAGATGGGCTCAAATGCGGTCCTCAGCAGCCATGCACATGCAGGTGGGTCCGCTATCGTCGACTGGGGTAGCCGCCTATGGACACTTTGTCTGTGGTAGGTGCATTTGGTCGGGGTTCCTCGAGAAGGAGGAAAGCCTGCAGACTCCCAGAAATGGCTAGAGCAGGTCACCACTATGGCTGATGACCATGAGCTCAAGGTCCACAAGATGGGAAGATACTCCAGGGACGAGATCGAAGGTAACTCACTCGAGTGTTGTTGCCTTCGCTGACTCCATATCAGGCATCGCTAAGACCACGTCAGAGTCTGGCACGCCTCCATATATCTACATGCAGCTGCCAGGCCCAAACAAAGTTCGACTCCTTCTGACGCCGACTAGAACATCAAGTGTTCCGATGAATTTCGGTCGAGAAGCTGTGGTAGGCCAAGTTGACCTGCTTCATATCTTGCTAGCCTTGCTGAGACGCATTCGCTTTGTTTCTCAGGTGAAGTGTATGGGCCTCCCGACTGAGAGACTCGAGTGGCGAAGCTGCCAGCAGAGCACCGAGGAGGAAACCGAACTGGCGAGGAAACTGAAAATCTCTTTTGAAACTGCCAAAAGACATTGACTGTCGTAACGATGTTTCACCTCAAATGTTTTGCTTGTGAATATATCCCAGTGACGGTGTTTGTCATGGTCATGCGTGGCAGACTTGAATGTTGGAGACGCCTGCTATGATATTGCCCAGTCCACTTTGATGCTTCGAGGTCGCTATATTAGATAGATAAATTCCTAGATAAGTCCCTTTATACAACTATACCTCTGAGACCATAGTAACAGTATCGTCACGCCACGCTCGATACCTCTAACTGATATTGCAAGAGTCCTTAGAACTCGATGAGCGACATTTTCTGAGAGTTGCACTGCTAGCGTCTCCCTTCAGCTAACTCTCACGTCTTTCGCTATCCGCTTACGACAAGTTCGTTAGCGACTTCGATGATGTGATTTCACTGATCGAATGAAGTTTGTCTCCCGTAATCAGCTTAGCAGTAGCACATTCATCATCAATGCTCCTTGCCAAGGAACAATCGTGTACACAAAGGTTAGTTAATTCGCACAGGGCGCGTTGTCCATCAGTGAAAAACCTATAAACTTGTCCACTTCGCGAAGTAAGTGCTCACAGGAGGCCTGGCACTCTTTATCAATAATTGCGAGGAGAAAGGGCATGAAGGTCTGCTTGTTTTCGTTTCGCACAGGACCGATTCTATTAGGGTAACCAAGGAACGCTTTGTACTTCATCTCTTCGGTGAACTATGATGTCACTGTTATCAAATGAGCAGCTCTCTAGTTGCTGTATCTTCTCGCTGTAGGTCAGCTTTAGCTTCGCCGAACGCCGACTCCGAAACGAGATGTGCATACTCGTCGAATTTGACTCGAACACAAATGGTTCAAAACTGGATTGTACTCTCACTTAACGATATTTCGTGACGTTCGGTCATATCCACCCTTCTCCGCCAGAACATTGCAGTAATGTTGTCTAACAGAAGTTTTTGGAGAGCGTTTATAACTTGAACACCAGACCCAGGACTAAGCGTGATGAGACTACAGTGTACAGGTGTGATTCTCGCATGCTACCCCGAAGGGGTTATAGCACTTCGATTTACTGCTGTGTTTCAGACAATGATTTTGAGAACTGTCGTCTAACCAGACAAAACATCTTTTTACGAGATCACAATTACCCACCCTCACACACGCAGCAATACTGATGCGGCATCAGTATCAGTATTTGATGTGGCTCAGGCAGGCGGAGAGTAGAACGGCTACTCTCTAAGCAAGAATTGACGGCACTCGACACGAAGACACGTCGATACTCGTTCGCTTGAAACTCGTCTATCGTAGAGAATGCGACACTCATTCACGTAAGGAATACCGCTGGACGTACACCGGCTGAGACGTTATGGTAGTGGCGTCTTCCGGTCTGATCTAGTTCCGTAGCATTGCGAAGAGCTCACTCCAGAATGCGTCCTTGGTAACGTCAGATTCGCGGGCGTGCTCCACTGCAGCAGCGTTACTGCGAATCGACTCTATCAATTGCGAAAGTGAACGGCCAATCTGAGACAAAATACTCTACTGTAGAGGAAGCAGTGCTCAAAGCACTTACCGCGTTGAGCTTCTTTTCAACTCGCAAATGTTCCAGTATGTCTGCCCTTGAGGAATCAGTACTGCCTCCAGCACAGGAATAGAACACAGAGGTCAGCAGCGATGAGCAAGCCGTGGAGACTCGACCTTTCACGTCATCAAACCTTGTTACAAGGAAATCCCAGGCCATATCAGCGCCCTCAGAGGAAGAAGTCCGAACGGAGGCCATAACGGTGTAGTAGTCCGAGGGGCGGACCACGGGGTCTAAGCTCCACTCAAGAGTGCGCTGCTTCAAGCGTCTGTCCCTGACGTAACCGAGGGAAGAATAAATATCAACAACTTCCGTCTTAGTAATATCATAGCGCTCTGCGCGTTCCCTGAGTGCAGTCCAGAAGTCTCCACCACCGGCAAGAGCAAGCTTGAGGACTGAGCTTCGTATATCAGCAGGGAGCGAAGCAGGATCCTCTAGATAGGCTTGGGCTCGCTGGCAAGCGGTGTCGACCATCTGCGTGTTGGTGTGGCAGTATTTGCTCGCCAGGCGAACGAGAGTACTGCGAAGCTGTCTGGTCTTGGACTCATCTGTAGGCTTGGAATCCCAGCCTACACGAGCCAGAGGCCCCTCGATGAGGTCACTGACTAGTCTGTTCATTTCCTTGCCTCGGCCGACCCCGATACAAATGGTATCCAGCGCGAACACAGCGATAGCGATGGCATCCCACACATCAGCGTCGTCCTCGTTCTTGTAGTAGGTCAACAATTGGAGGGCTTCACATACAGTCAAGTGCCTTGCTTTGGCCAACGCTCTGACGGTAGCGAGGAGTTGAATTCTGTCGGGGACCGGGAGGCTGTGGTCTGCCACTGCCTCGGCGAGGGCGACTCTCATCTCTGGGCTGCTGTAATGAACCCTATAGGGCACCCACGCACCGTAGTTGAGGAGGACCCATTTGCCGTTGCCGACATTGATGGTCTCAGACTTCTCACGCATCATAGTGAGTCTGCCCATCTCCCCCGATGG